TGATTGGTCCAGTGGTGAGAATCTTTGTCTTCTTGACATTGAGCCTCAGTCCATACTGAAAGCTGCAGTCCTTGACCCTCTGCAGTAAGTGCATGAGGTCCTCCTCAGTTTCAGTGAGCAAGGTTGTGTCATTTGTATAACGCAGATTGTTGATAGATCTTCCACCAATACTAACGCCACGCTGATGTTATTGCAAACTGGAGAGTGAGTGGAAGTGAGCATTTAGAAAGGTCTTATTTTCCTTGCCTAATTCTGCTGGTGTTTGGTTTGTTATTGCTATGTACTATCGAGTTAGAACTGACCAATTGCTGACCCTCCAGCAGATTTTTAGAATCTGTAGATGACACGGGAGGAGTTTGCCCATCTTTCTCCCACAAAGCAACTGGTGGATTTGAACCATGTACCTTTGAGTTGGCAGTTCAATCTCTTACCATTAAGCCATAAGAGCTCTCTTACTCCTGCTGCTGGGACTAAGAAATGTGATTACCTTTGGAGATAGGTTGCCAGGGAGGGGACACAGGAGAGCTCTGTGGTTTGTTGGAAATGCTACACATCTTCATTACAAGTAATGTTGTGTATCTTGATTATAATAATTGAATGTAAAACAAGTAATCTCATATGCTTTGATTATAACAATTAGTATTTATACAGGTGTTCTCCTGCATAAACAAATTAATCGTATACACTTCAAAACTGTGCCTTGTAGTGAATCTAAGACATATCTCAATTGAAAAGTAAAAAACACAGATAACTCCTGCATTACTAGCCTAATCCATATTTGCTGCTTTGCTAGGGGATTTACATATACTGTATAGATAATCTTTACAAATAGTGCTACAAGTTTAGACACTCTTTCCATTGTCTCTATGAAGAGATTGAGAATTAAGAGTAATGTCTAGCCTTAAATAATTCATAATCGCATATCCAGTCCAGATGCGGCCAAAATTTCTCTGAAATCTATCATGTACATACATTGAACAGAATGTTCTTTACATTCTAATAATAATGCAAAAGGAACAAATATCATGCTATAGAATGAAGCAGAATAGGGCACATTTCAGACCTGTTGTTTGTAGGATTACTCTAAGTTATAGTCGACTACATGGTACCTAACAACATTACAACATAGTTGTGTGACTTGATCTGCTAATACCAAGAAAAAACCCAATTTTCCAAAGCTTTTCTATAACAAATTAGCACAAAACTAGTCATTTACAACATGATACATTTATTCTCTTGCAATTCTAGGGTTCAGTTCCCAAAATCATAGAAAGTTATGTGACATCTGAGGTAGAAAGGTGATAACTCTAACCTATCAGCCAAGTCTGGTGGCTTAGTGGTAAGGAATTGCATTGTTAAGTTTTGTGGTTCAAATACACCCACTGCCCTGGAGGAGAAAGATTAGCAATTTCCTCCTGTGTGATTTACTTCTCCTGAAAACTCAGTGGAGAGACAACTATGGGTCAGTTTTCACTCCTAGTGTACAACGACTGGCCAGACAAGATCTTGGATTTTAGATCTGTAATCCAGAACCCGCGGCCTGTAGATTCTAAAAACTGAATGCTACCTTCAATGCCTTCCAGATAACCCTCTACTCTTGACTTTCCAGGTTTGAGTATGACTTGTTGCTCAATGCTGATGTGAATAGCACCCAGCACCAGCAGTGGTTCTACTTCAAGGTGAGCGGTATGAGAGCTGCTGTCCCTTATCGTTTCAACATCATCAACTGTGAGAAGCCCAACAGCCAGTTCAACTACGGTACGAGCTTTTAGGGGACAGAGCCCACCTGGATAACCTGTATAGCCCCAGAAATGATGTCACTTCTAGCTTTAACTGTTTTATTATTTTTATTAGTTATTATTTTTACTATTGTTATATGTCATCTTGGGCCCCTGGGGGTTTGAAGGCTGCATGACTCATTTTGTTTGCCAGGTGTGGTGGCTACTACAAAAAGGAACTTGGAAAACCTCATTCCACAGTAGAAAGTTAGTACCATATGTAACATTCCACTTTTCTTTGACTTCCAAAGCCCATCTTAAGTTCTCTGAGTCATTAAATCCTTCTCTCTAGATCCTACACCCCACTTTAGCAAATACATTTTCCTGCTTGTAACATGATAGAGATAGTCTTCTCTCAGAAAAATTCTAGAGAAAGTTAAAATTCTGTAGACTGTCTAGAGCATACAGGAAGAGATTTACAAGAGACAAAAGACTGACCACATTATTTTGAGCTAATCTAAGAAAGTCCAGTTGATTTAATAATTTATGGGATGACCATGAATAAAGAATACCTTTTCCAGCTCTTCATAGTCTATCGCAGGAGACAGCTTTTCTTCGATTCTTGTTCAATAGTCCCTTGATAGTGTCACTCACTCACTCATTGCTGTCTAGTTGGAACTGGTTTATAGCTGACCCTCCAGTAGGTTATTGGTGGCTTTAGAAAAGAAACGGTCCATCTTTCTTGTGAGAAGCCATTAGTGGATTCAAATTGCCAGAGAAGCACTGCCGTGAGTTAATAACACAGCACAGTTCTTTATCCTTGATGTTGTAGGAGGAGAAAATATGATCTGTGTCTATAGGTTTTCATGGTTGCTGTAACAGTGTTATAAAGATGACGACATAAAGAAAGACAAATGCATTTGCTTACAGATCTGATGTCTGGTAGTCCAACATCAGTTTCACTGAACTAAAGTCAAGTTGTTGGCAGGGCCAAGCTCCTTCCGCAGGCCCCAAGGAAAGTCTTCCCTGGGTTTTTACAGTTTATACATGCCTTAGCTTTGGGCCCTTTCTTTCTTCTGTCTTCAAAGTTAAATTTGTAGCATCTTCTAAACTCTCTTCTGCTTCTGTCACTTTGCTTTTTTCCTATGTTTTCAAAGTCCCTTCAGTCTTTCCCTTATAAGGACACTTGCGATTGCTTTTAGAGACCATCAGTAGATTAAGAGTTGGGCTACTAATCAACTGGTAGGTAGTTCAAACCTGTCAGAAGGTCGTCATAGGTAGAATGGGTAGAATAATCTAGGGTGGTTTTCCTGACTCTAGGGCCTTGCATGGATCCACAATCAACACCATAAGTACCAGTAGTACAGAAATCAATAGACATATGGCACTGAACAAGTCATCTGTCAGGGAACTCTCCAAAGTACTGAAGAGCAGTGACATCAGCTTCAAGACTAAAGTGCACCTGATTCAAGCCTTAGTCTTTTCAGTCACCTGCTGTGCATCTGAGAGATGGATGATGAATAAGGACAACAGGAGAAAGCTCGATGCCTTTTAGTTGGGTGTTGGAGGAGTGTGCTGAATGTCTTCATGCACTGTCAAAAGAACAAATACATTTTGGAGAAAGTGCAGCCTGAGTGCTCCTTAGAAGCAAGGATGATGAATCTTTGTCTCTTATACTTTGAGCTTGTTGTTAGGAGAGGCTACTCCTTGGAAAAGGACATCCCAGTTTAAAAGGTAGAGGGTCAGCAAAAGAGAAGAAAACTATCAATGGAATAGATTAACACATTGACTGTAGCAATAGGATCAAGTATATCAGAGATGATAAGGATGACACAGGATAGGACAGGGTTCAGGTCTTTCGTTCATAAAGTCACTTTGAATCATACTCAACTTGGTGGCACTTAAGGACAACAAACAACAGGAACTTTATAATATCTTCAAAATCCTTTTTCTCCCTCATATAGTGTAATATTCACAGTTTCTAGTGATTAGGGTCAGGATATTCTTGGGGCCCCATGTTCAGTCTACAACAATTCTCTCTAACCTTTCTCTTTCCTTCATGGATTCAATTCTGCATTTATTTGGTGCAGGGATGCAGCCAACCATGTATTCAGTGAAGGAGGCTCTCCTCGGCAAACCTACCTGGGTACGGACGGGCTTTGAAATCTGTTATTATAGGTAAGTGAGTGTATTGCTAGCCTCCTCACTAGCCTTTCATTCTGTCTCAATTCCGTGCTTTCCACATTGATCCTGCAAATCACAACGGTCTACTTGTGTTATACTTGTCATCACTTTGGCTCTGATGGCAGATCCTCTGCTCCTCAAAGGTGTTAGTATGTATTTCAAATGGCATCCACAGTAGACCTCAAGAAATATCCTTTGATAGACTAAAAGCTAGTCCATCTAGCTTTATACAACCGCAGAGGTTGTATAACCTCTATGTGTATATGTTTAAATTCACTGGTCCAGTAAACAAAGTCTTAGATGCATATGCTTTAAGATTTAAGTCAAAGTGCACAGAGTGGATTCGTTTTTCATATGACAGTTCATACCTATTTTGTTACAGTACTTACTATACTCACTTAGTAACCCAATCAACACTCTTTCTGCCTCGTCCTTAGGGTTCTCTTGTCCTTTGATTCTACTATCCCACCCCTTCCTTCTGACCTTTATCCTTTAACAAATGCTTCCCTTTTGATCTGATATGGTTGATTGTTCTTAGGAGTGAGTGCCATTCTCCATTTACTGTTCACTCTATAGACCTGTCTCCCTGTCTATTCTTTGGCTACAAGTTGTACCATGGGCAGTTCCAAGCTCAAAGAATGACTAAGTATTATAGTCATGGGCCTCCACCATTCTCTATTAGACCAGAAAGCTTGGCTATTTTTATGAGTTTGGATTTTTTTTTTAATCACTGAAAACTTTATTATGCAGATTCCCCCCCCTTTCCTTTATTGACATTATGTTTGATACAATCATTCCCATACATTGTGTTTTATAAAATTAAAACCATTGGACTATGTCACCGCTGGACTATGCATCATAACCCAGTCTTTTCAAGTCCCCATCAGATCTTGCCCATTTCCCCTACATCCTCCCTACAAACACCAAGTCGTGTAACCCTGTGATTTCCCTCCTACTCATCCCTACCCTTCTACTCCCACCATCTCCCTCCTTGGATCCCCATACATGTTTTACTAGTTATCCTCCTGTTTTACAATAATGGTCTTATGAAGTATTTGTTCTTATGAGACTGAGTTCACTCAGTATAATGCTCTCCAGACTCTCCAAAATTATGATTTTTTTTTTGAAATCATTGCTCCTGAGTGTTGTGTAGCATTCCATCGTGTGAATGTACCACAATTTCTCAGTTCACTTTGTTCTTCATCCCCACCACCCACTGTCTATAGCCTTCTATTGTGATCTCTTTCAGATCTCTAGCTACTGAGTGGTAGCTACACACTATCTAGTCTTCTTATTTCCAAGTTCTTCTGGTCTTCAGAAAGAGGTTGAATTTCACATATTCAGTTGTTCCAGACAAAGTAATATTTGTACTGTTGGTGACTGTTTGAAAGTTTTCAGCCTGGTCACTACTTACAAAAGTAGCATACAGAACATTGCCTTTATGGACTATGTCACACCAGTTAACCTTGATGTCCTTAGAGACAATGGGCCTGGGAATTTGGTTATGTTTAAGAAGCTCACATAACTAAGACTCTTGTTGACCTATTTTAGATAGATAGATAGATAGATAGATAGATAGATAGATAGATAGATGAAGAGAGAAATATAATTATAACTTATACAAATATGTTTTGTTGTTGTTGTTGTTGTTGTCATGTGCCATTGAATCACTTACTTGCGACTCAGCGACCCTATGGACAACAGCCCTAAACCCTTCTCTGTCCCACACCACTCTCACTGTCTCTAACACATCTACCCCCATTACCCCAGTCACTAAATCAATCGACCTCATAGAGAGTCTTCCTCTCCTGCACTGTCCCTCCACCCTCCCAAGCATGACATCCTTCTCTAAGGACTGGTCCCTCCTTGTAACATGCTTAAAGTATGTCAGATGAAGCTTCAGCATCCTTGCCTCAAGGAACAGCCTGGTTTAACCCTCTCAAGGATGAACCCGTTTGTTTTCTTAACAGTCCGTGCTATATTCAATGTTGTTGTTGTTGTTGTTGTTATGTGCCGTCAAATCGCTTGCGACTCATAGCGACCCTATGTACAACAGCCCTAAACTCCGCTCTGTCCTGTGCCAATCGCATTGTCTCTGACACTCCCATCCCAGTTATCCCAGTCACTGAATCATTCCACCTCATAGAGGGCCTTCCTCTCCTGCGCTGTCCCTCCACCCTCCCAAGCATGATGTCCCTCTCCAAGGACCAGTTTCTCCTCACAACATGTCCAAAGTATGTTAGATGGAGCCTCAGAATCCTTGCCTCCAAGGAGCCACCCGGTTTAACCCTTTCCAGGACAAATCTGTTTGTTTTCCTAGCAGTCCATGGTATTCTCAGTACTCTTCTCCAGCACCACAACTCAAAGGCATCAATTCTTCTATCCTCCTTGGTCATTGTCCAACTCTCTGATGCATAAAAGGTGATTGTGAAGACCATGGCCTGTATCAGACGCACCTTAGTCTCCAAAGAGACACCATTGCTCTTGAGTACTTTGGAGAGGTCCCTAACAGCAGACTTTCCCATGGCAATGTGCCTTTTAATTTCCTGGCTCCTGGTGCCAAGACTGTTGACTATGTAGCCAAGCAAACTAAAGCTGTGTACAATCACAATCTCTTCACCATCCATCCTGATGCTGCCAATTGGTCCAGTGGTGAGAATTCTTGTCTTCTTGACATTGAGCCTCAATCCATATTGTAGGGTGCAGTCCTTGATGCTCTTCAGCAGGCGGTTCAGGTCCTTTTCAGTTTCAGCAAGCAGGGTTGTGTCATCCGCATAACGCAGATTGTTGATAAATCATCCACCAATCTTGACCCCACACTTCTCCTCATAGAGCCCAGCCTCCCGGATAATCTGTTCTGCATATAGGTTGAAAAGGTATGGAGATAGAATGCATCCCTGGTGTATGCCCTTCCCAATTTTGAACCATGCAGTGTTCCCTTGCTCTGTTCTGACAACTGCCTCCTAGTCCAAGTATAATACTCTTCTCCAACACATAGCTCAAAGGCATCAATTCTTCCTCTATTCTCCCTAGTCATTGTTCAACTCTTTCATGCTTAGCAAGTGATTACAAAGACCATGGACCATGTGCACGTTAGTCTCCAGAGTGACACCATTGCTCTTGAGTACTTTAGAGAGGTCTCTAACAGCAGACTTTCCCATCGCAATATGTTTTTTAATTTGTAGAAATATTGTCTCCTAAAGACATAGAGAATAGGTAGTAAATACATTTTGATAGTTTTTCCTCTACATCAGGATGAGAAAAACACAAAAAGAAAAGTTTTGCAGAATTTTTTCAGTCTTTGATGTGTAGCCAGTTTCATCAATTTATCCTGTAATATTAAAAGGAAAATTAAATTATCTATATCTTTTGATGAGAGAAAAGGTTCCCAGACTCAGAGATTACTATGTGTGCATTTTCTTTTGATAAAAAATAAAATATGTATTTATAGGAAAAAAAAGTAGAATTATTACGACAAGTAGAGCATATCAATTAATTATTAGTTCAGCACTAGGATTTTTTTTTTATTCCACTGAATAAAGACAGAATTACTAACTTTGAAAAAGTTAAGTGTTGTATCTTTCTGAAATTATAGGAAGCAACTGAAACAGGTGCTATTAGATATTCTAAAGTTTAAAAATGTTAGCTACTCCTTGGAGGCAAGGATTCTGGGGCTTCATCTGACATACTTTGGGCATGTTGCAAGGAGGGAGAGGTCCTTGGAGAGGGACATCATGTTTGGGAGGGTGGAGGGACGGCACAAGAGGGAAGACCCTCTATGAGATGGATTGATTCAGTGACTGGGGTAATCGGGATGGGAGTGTCAGAGGCAGTGCGAATGGCACAGGATAGAGCAGGGTTTAGGGCAGTTGTACATGGAGTTGCTATGAGTCGCAAACGACTCGACGGCACATAACAACAACAACAACATAAAAAAGAAAGAGAATATGTATTCTTCGGATTTTTTTTTTCTCCTAAGACTGTGCAATAAGAGCATTGGTAGATGGGAAGATAAAGCATTTTATTATTGCTCCATCACATAAAGAGACAAAAGTCATCATTGAGAATATGACAATATCCAAAACTCATTGCTGGGCTGACTGATAGTCTACAGTAACAGTTGTTAGTCCTCAACCCTTGACATATTATAATACAGACACGAGCAGTATTTTAATTGTATTTATTATAAAAATAACACAATCTTATAGCTACATGAATTTTCTGCTCACCTCAGTAATAGTAACCCTGACTTACCTATCTTGAGACTCTCAAGACCCTTTTATGGTCCAAAGAGGTTTAGGATAAAAACTGCCGCAAGAGAAGAGAGAAGCACTTCTGTGAGAGTGCACAAAACTGCAGGAAAAACATGTCTAAATGTGGATCTTAGTGAGTCAGGAAGAAATTCAAGCACGCTCTGGTCAAAGGATGGACATTGAAAGTAGGGAGACTATCTTTTTTTTAGTAGTTACCAGGGATGTGAAGAAGGGGAGTCTTAGTTCTAGAAGCATTGAGTTTTTGTTTATAGTGGTAGGAATTTGGCAAAAGTTATTGTTGATGTTTATATGATATGTAATTGGTGTAATTAAATTTGTACATGTTAAAAGTGTAAAATTGACAAATTTTGTGATTAGATGATAGATAGATAATAGATATATAGATAGGTAGATATAGTTGTTGTTATGTGCCGTGAAGTTGCCTGTGACCCATAGTGACCCTACATACAGCAGTTCTGAAACTTGCCATGTCCTGAGCTAGCCTCACTGATTTCAACACACCAACCCCCATAGCCCCAGTTACTGTATTAATCCATCTCATCTGGGGTCTTCCTCTCCTGGCTGTCCCTCCACCTTTCTGAGCATGATGTCATTCTCTAAGGACCGATCTCTCCTGGCTATGTACCCAAAGTCTGTGAGACTGAGATTCAGAATCCTAGCCTCCAAGGAGAGACTTGGTTTCACCCTCTCCAAAACAGACCTATTTGTTTTCTTGTCCGT